TATATATATATATATATTTGATAAGTAGTATTTCGAGGCAAAACGAGCCAAACACGAATGAACAAATCTTTGTTTGTGTTCAACTCGTTGACGAAATTAACAAGTCGAACACGAGCTTCTTAACGAGCTGAACACGAGTTGTTCGCGAACAACGAGCCGTTTTGACAGCCTTAAGCCAGCCAAGCCAGGAGATAACATGTCACTTGTAAAATATTGAAAAATCCCAGTATTGGCTCTCTAAGTAAGAGGAAAAATGTAATATAACTATTGTACCAAACTCGCTAAAAAATAAAGTAGTATCAAATGAGGAGGGTTGCACAATTTTACTGTTCATTCTAGAAATTATAGCCCCTCTCCCTCTCTCTTTACATTTCTACCCATCCTTTCCCCCTCTCATGCACTATTCATGGGTGTGATTTGCAGGCAACTTTAGGTTCAACATATTAGAATGTGTGGTGAGCATTGATCACGCCACCAATAAGAGGAGTAATATAGAGAAAATGGCTTCACAATAAGGAGACAAACAATAACATGGAGTGCATCTGATAGCTGGTGCTCCAGCAGATCCAAGATTTGTAGTATCAAATGTTAGAGATGATCAAAAGTGTGTTGACCCAACAACCTCAACAAAACCTCCCAATGTCGAATTACAGAGGGTTTTGGCATACCCGGAAAGGGAGGAAGACACGCAATACCTTGATAGTGTTGTGTCAATTCCTATCGACCATCATTAGCTCAGGCAAACTGAAGCAACATTTAGTTGAGGCAACCAAACCATCATGACAGTTGATAAATGCATTATGTTGAAATATTTTTGATACCCATCCACCAGAACAATTCAAGATTCCTACACACAAAACTTTCAAAGGATTGACAAACTCAGCCGACCACATTGCTTCTTGTGATTCGATAGTATGTCTTCTTGTCAGTTAGAATTTGGGTCAGGCGCTTTTGAAAATTGTTTAATTTAATATATATATATTTATATATATATATTAAATTATAATATATAGCATTTTAATTTTGAAAAATGAGACCTTAGAGATCTCTTATGCTTAATAGTATAAGTAATCAAGCACAACCCTACAAGTAATACACTCATCCCGAGAGATATGCATATTACTTGAAAAATGAGGGGGGAGGGGGGCTCAATTATATAAACTAAGTAATTTATGATATATTTTTGGTCTGCAAAATATTTATATGTGACCGACAAGTTCCCCTGTCTAATATAAATATTAGATAGGGTTTATTTTACTTGTTTCTTAATTCTCTATAGAGGTAAGCCCCTATAGTTAATTACATCTTAAATGACCAAAGTCACTTAAGAAAACTCTTGATTAAGATCAGTGGTTTTGTCTTCAAGATTGAAAAGTTGAGTTTTCAAGATTGGACATGGAAAAGTCAAATGAGAATGGCTCAAGTAGGAACAATTATTTTCAAGAGTCAATGAGTAAAAGGTAGTGGGTGTCACAGATTCGAGAATATCCTATAATGAAAGAGGAGGTGAAGAAGAATATCCTTAAATGACTAGATATATGACTCATTTACTCTATTTAGATAGTGTTTGGGTAAGCTTAATCCACTGTCTCAAAGAAAGGTAGATTGGTTATAGTTGAAATGAAAGAAATAAACTCATGCCTACAAGAATTTTTACTAACTGGAGAATTTGTATAAGCTATAGAAATTTGAATAAGGCTACTAGAAGTGACCATTTTCCCTCATCTTTCCTTGACCAAATGCTAGATAAGCTGGTAGGAAACCCTTATTTTTTATTTTTAGATGGGTTTCAAAATATTACAATATAACATTTTCATTTAGGATAATGTCTTCCAATTTATGCAATACCTATGTAACTTTTCAAAGGTGCATGATGTCCATTTTTTCTCACTTTACTGAGCAAGGCATTGAAATATTTATGAAAAATTTATTTGTATTTGGGAAATTATTTCATGATTGTCTTCAATATCTTTCAAGATTTTCACGAAGATGTGAAGAGAAAAATTTAGTGTTAAATTAGGACAAGTGTCAATTTATAGTCATTTAAGATATTATCATATGACATAAAATTCAGGTTATAGAAAATTTACCTCCGTATACATCTATTTAAAGCATTAGGACATTTTTATGGAATGTTCAGTTTTATAGAAGGTTTATTAAGGACTTCTTTAAAATCAATCAAATGTTATGTCATTTATTAGAGAACTAAGTTCCTTTTTATTTTGATAGTGAGTGCCTTGAAGATTTTGAACTTCTTAAGGAAATGTTAATCATTATACCCATTATTGTAACACCTGATTAGAATTACTCTTTTGATTTAATATGTGATACAAGTGATTATGCTATAGGAGTTATCCTTTTATAAATGATATAAAAAATTTTTCATGTCATTTACTATGCTAGTTGAATTCTTAATGACATGCAAATTAATTACATTACACATCAAAAAAAAGTTGCTAGCTATAACATTTACATTTGATAAATTTAGATCCCATTTGATTGGTACCAAAATTAAAGTGTATACAATTCATTCTACCATTGAATATCTTAAAACAAAGAAAGATGTTAAGCCCAACATGATCAAATGGATCCTTCTTATACCAAAAAAATTGTTTTAGAGGTTTGTGACATGAAAGGTATTGAGAATCAAGTAGTTGTTAGTAGTGCTTGACAATCTATTCCTATATTAATACAATCAATTACGTTATTGTAGAATTATTCCTTATGACTTATCACAAAATAAAATGAGAAAGTCCATTTTTATGCTAGATTTTATATTTGGGTTGAACCTTATCTCTTTAGGAAATGCAAAAGCCAGATTATTAGGAGATGTGTTTCTTTAAAAGAGATAGTCAGTGTCACTAGATAATATCATCCTTCGGGATTGGGAAAGTGTTATAGATGTTTTATAACTATTTATAAGATCTTACAATTATGATTATATTGTTCAACCATTTTAATGGATTTTAATGAATATGTTAAAAAATATTATAAATATCAGAAGATAGGTAATATTTCTAGAAGAAATGAAATATCCTTAAATTATATATTTATTAATAGATTTATTTAATATTTGGGGGATAAAATTCATGGCATCATTTGTACTCTCCTTAGGAAATTAGAATATTTTAACTGTAGTGGATTTTATCTCATAATGGAAAGGGTCATTAGCTCTACCTATGTGTGATTAATAGGGAGTTCACAAAATTTTAAAGAAATTTAAATTTAGTATATTTATAATGATGGATGGAGCTACTTTTGCAATAAAATAATTAGGCACTAATTGCTAGATATAAATAAAAGATAGAATTTTCATTGCAAATCATTATTAGATAAGCGGTTTAGCTAAATTATCAAATATAAAAATTGAGAGAATCTTTAATAAGACACTTAACCCTAGTAGAAAAAATTAGTCCCTTAGGTCGGATGATACATTATGAGCCTATAGGACTTTCTTTAAACTTCCATAAGAAGTGTCTCCCTATAGGCTGACTTTTAGAAAAGTCAGTCACTTACATGTAGAGTTAGAATATAAGGGCT